CAATATTTTATTCTACGCTTCGTTTGTTTCCTATATTTGACAAGGGTATAAGAGAAGCTGAAGAGGTTTCTATGAAGATCCTGTAGCAAAGTAACATTAAAGGGGACCAATTAGTGAAGCAGTGCGAGCCTAAGGAGATTAACTGTCTAGATATTAGGCAGATCATATTGATGAAAAAGGCATTCGACTTTTTGAGAAATAGCATTGGAAACTTGGTCGAAATCTAGAGTGTGCAAGGTAAAGTAAACTACGGGAAATGTCTTATTGTGGGTTTGGATTTTTACTATTGTTGTTATTGTTATTGCTGCTGCTGTTATTATTATTTATTATTATTATTATGATAATTGCTGCTGCTGCTGTTATTATTATTATTGTTATTATTATTATCATAATAAATAATAATAATAATAATTATTATTATTATTAAGAGAGATGGTCGGTTTTGAGGTGAAGAGGCCAACTGACAAGCATTTTTCTGGAGTATTGGTAGGATTGGCTCCAATTTACCAGCATTGATTTGGGATGATTTTGAGAGGATTCTCTAGTCGTGGGGTGTCCATTCTTTGGGAGGGATCTTAGGGAATGGGACATGATAGAGTTGAGTCATTTTTTGGGTAGTTAAAACTTGTATGATCATGCTCTTTTAGGTTGACATGATGGTAGGGAGTGAGATGCTATTGGTAGTTTCTCATTCTTCAAGAGTTTTAGGGGATTGGATTAGCACATGTTATTACTTTTGTGCAATAAGCAGCAGAATATTACCTGAATCAAGCTTCATGCTTGTTTCTAATCTTCTAAAGGGGATCTTAAAACCAAATATGATGGTAGCTCTTCCAGAAATATTTGAATTTTGAGCGGTTATTGTGTTAAATGCTATTTTAGTTGAAGTGGGGAAGGTTTTACTATTAGGACCAGCAGGCATCCGCAACTTTATTGATGCAGGAGTAGGAGTTCTTTTGTCAAAAGCTCCGGAAGTGTTTGCAAAATATCTTCGTGGCCTCACTGCTAGTATGAGATTACTATGCCTTGCTCTATGTCGTTATGGACTCGATATCTTGCCATATTGTGGAGGATTGTAGATATCATGGAGCAGAGATCATTGGTGTTATCCCACAACCTAGTTTAACCATGTCCCTAAGTCATAATTCAAAGACTAATCCCTTGATAGAGGGGGAGTGGGTAGAGAGTGACTTTTGCTTGATATATTTTGTCACTTGTTTGGTTGTCTTTGTATATATCTGTGTAGTTTGCACCTTTGGTGCAACTTGATGCATCCTTGTATCTTATGTATTGAACATTTGGTGATAATATGTAAATTAGATGTTTGTAATAAGCTAACTGTGTTTCCACGGGGGATCCGTAGGTGATTAGAGATGGACATTCTAGAATGCTGGAGAATGTTTGTGACTTTTTTAGGGCAATGTTTGACTACCTAGGCCAGGCGACTTGGACTCGACCGGGTATCTTAGGATTGGCATGGGCCTCACTCGAGCTTCCCCCCCACCAAACCTAAGTACGGGGATCTTGGTCAAGGGGTGGCGTTCCCCTCTTGGAATCTTGATCCGGCAATCCGGGAGCCGTACCCTGAGCGGTACTCACTTCCTCCCATAAGGGGATCTCGATCCCTACTTATGGGGATCTCGATTCCTAATCTAAAGGGATTTGATCCTTGACTGTAAAGGATCTTGATCCCTATCGATGGGGGATCATCACTCCTCAAAAGATGGGTTGTGTCTTAATATGATCGGTCAATTTTAAGGGCTTGTATACATGTGCTCGTTACCACTGATGTAACGAGTTCATAGTCCATGAGAAATCTTTTAGTAATACTTAGTTGATGAGTTTATACTTTACAATCTATGTACTCATTTCAACTATGTCGCATTGCCCATGAGAAATCCTATAATAATACTATCTAACTATCAACATTAATTTTAATCTACTTCATCAATGTACTTTATTATATAAAATACTAAATATATGTTAATGAGTATACAGTCCATGAACTCATTTCAAATATGTAGCGTAGTCCATGAGAATTCTTATAGTAATAATATCAACATTAATTTAATTCCACTAAATCGATGTACGTTAATATAAGTAATATTAAGTATATGGCTTTTTAATTATTAATATTTCATACATTAATTTTTGGAAATATCTTTATATAGTTCCTACACAATTGGCGATTTCTTTTATTTTATATTATTTAAAAGTGTTTGAAAGTAATGGCATTTTTCATTTATTTATTTATTCTCATAATTTTCATGACTAAATTTTGGTTTATAGCACAAAATATTTTATGGATTTCATAATTACATTAATGTCTCTTAAAAAATTAAGTTAATATCATTTCAAGCCTGCGCCCCGCCCAGCGGCAGAAATGCGGCTTTTTGAGGGTATTTTTGGGTCATTTTTTAAATACTAAAGGGGCAAAATTGTGGATTTTAGGTTCATTTGAAACCTAAAAACCATTAGAGGCTATTTTAGAAAGAGAAAACCCAAAAAATAAAAAATTTCTACTTGGCAGCCGCTTAGGCGCTAGGCGGCCTGGACCCCCCCCCCTCGACTGCCTAGGTGCCGCCTAGCGCTGAAACACTGTTTTAAAAATTTTATGCATCTCACTTCAAAGCTTTCTTAAATCTATTTTTTGATTTTTTTAATTATTAAGATTTCATAGAAATATTTTTTTAAACAAAATGTCTTATCTATGTATTTATATTTTTTACAGTTGATGAATTTTATATTATTCAAATGTATTTTAAAGTAGTGATATGTTTCATGTAATATTTTTTCTCTTAATTTTCATTTCAAAATTCTGGATGATAGTAGAAAATCTTTTATTGGTTTTGTGCTTACCTTTATGTCTTTTGTTTCCTAAAATATTAATGACATATCATGTCAAGCATTTAATGCATCTCACTTCAAATCTTCCTTAAATCTATTTCTTGATTTTTAAATTATTAAGGTTTCATAGATTATATATATTGGTGCGGTTTCTATAAGGTTGCAACCTTAAACAATCCAATTGAGGTGCATCTCCAAATTTTATCCTAACATGTAATTTTGTTGTAAAAAATTAGTAGGATTATCTTAAAATCTATTTTCATATCTAATTAGAAAATTTTAAACTCCAAAAATGTTTATAATCAAGTAGATCTATAAGCATATGAAAATCTTGAAAATGGACGGTCTAGATTATGTGTTGTAAGATGTACTATTTTTGAGACTCAAACGTTTTTTTTTTTTTTTAATATTCATACATCTCTATGTTGAGATGATCAATTAGAGGCTTTTCAACATTAAAACAACCTTTCCGATAGATTTTTTAGGTGCATCTGTGATTCTACTATTTTAAGGTTGCTAACCTTATATAAACTTTTCCTATAGTCGTGGAGGCAAGGCACACGAGGGGATAGG